GCAGAGGACACCTGGAAATGCTTCCGCCGAGTCCTCTTCTACCACAATGCTCCTGCCCCTCCTCCTCTCATCTGTTCACTCTGTTTTGTTAGGTGCCCTTGAGTCCGTTCTGATTCATAGTGACCCTGGAGTGGCTGGTGGGTTTGAGCTGCTGACCTTGCAGTTAGCAGTGCTTATCCTAGAGTGCCGCACCAGGACTCCTTCCTCTCATCCAATAAGGGCAATTTTGTAAGAATTTTGATGAGAAACCATTAGACATACATTTTCTCACTTTTTCAGTTACTAAAATTAAACAAGATTGTACTGATATGGTTAAATTCCCATATCCTCAGTTCTTTAGGGATGAACTTAATGGCTGGTATCATTGTTTAAGGGTTAGCTTCACTTCTAGATTCCCGGTGTGATGCTGTAGGATCAGCAATGGACTGCAGAACACAGGTCAGCAGTTCAAACCCACCAGCTGCTCCTTGGAAATCCTGAATATGGTCACTATGAGTCAGAACCAACTCAACGGCACTTAACAGCAAAGACAACATCGTTGTTTACAAAAGTGTCTTGACTTTGATGGTGCTATGTTGGAAAATAAAGTTCTTATTTTTTATTTTCATCTTTTGAATTTCATTTTCCCATGAACTTTTTGAAGTCCCCCAGTATAATATCTGTTTGAGAGAAATACATTGAAAAAGGAGCTCAGTTTTGTCTTTATAATGTTTCACAGAGTTTGAGAAATCAGGGCTGTGAAAAATGTTTTCGTGTTAGAACAAAAAGACAGCATTATCAATGTAGCATGATTATAAAGAGAAAATGACTATCAGAGGGAAGAGGGCAGCAAAGTTAGACAAACGGTGAACAGAAGACACCACAGAACCACTGAATACACACTGGATCACTTCCACCTCTTTGCTTGTGTTTTGTCTTCAGGATCATAGTGGTAAAGCCATGTTTCATCTCCTGTTATAATTATTCCAAGAAATGCTTCAGGATCGTGATCTCATTGGTTTAAAATTTCCATTGAAAGCATGCAAAAGCATGATCTGAGCTGAGCTGTGCACAAACTTGGAAGAAAGGTTTCGCAATTTGCTTCCCCAAAACCCCCTAAGAAGCACATTTTTACTCTGATATACAAGGAGGCTTCAAAAAGTTTCTGGTAAAATTCCATTTTTTTATTCATTCAATTTTTCCATGAACTTTTTGAAGCTCCTTGTACATGGGGTCGCCATGAGTCAGAATCAAATCAACAGCACTGGTTATCACTATAAAACAGTCACGAATACTGACTCAGACAGCATCTAGCAACAACCTACAGGAAAAGCCTTCAGTAGCAAGACCTCTGTTTTGCCTCTAGAGGGCGAGCTTGGTCTTCTGAAAAAACAAGAGCCATGTGACATTGCTGTTAAGTGCTGTCGAGTCGGTTCTGACCCACAGCGACCCTGTATAGGGTTTCTGAAGAGCGATTGGTGAACTTGAACTGCCAACCTTGCAGTTCAAACGGCTTTGCAGTCTGGCGCATTAACTCACAGCACCACACCAGGACTCCCAAGTGACATTACTTCTCAGATTTCATCGAAAAGGAAATAAAATTTAAGATGTCACTCTACATTGTTGTTGTTAGGTGTCATGGAGTCGGTGCCGACCCATAGCAACCTTATGTACAGCAGAATGGAACACTGCCCGATCCTGGGCCAACTTCACTATTGTTGCCATGCTTGTGGATGTTTTGTTGTTGTTAAGTACTGTGGAGTCGGTTCCAACTCACAGCAACCCTGCACAGGGTTTCCGAGGTTGTAAATCTTTACAGGAGCAGAAAGCCTCATCTTTCTCCTGCAGAACAGCTGATAGTTTTGAACTGCCGACCTTGAGGTTAGCAGCCTGATTTGTAACCACTATGCTACCAGAGCTCCTTACGCTTGAGGACAGGCTCCCCAATTTTCTTAGTTAATTGTATCTTTAACATCTCAGCACTTTTTTTATACCACCTAGACCTCTGGTAGTGTAGTGGGTACGAATTGGGCTGCTAACCTCAGGGTCATCAGTTCGAAACTACCAGCTGTTCCACAGGACAAGATGAGGCTTTCTGCTCCCGTAAAGATTTACAGCCTTGGAAACCCTGTACAGGGTCGCTAGGAGTCAGAACTGACTCCACAGCACGTAACAACAATAGACCAAAATAATGGCCTAATGGTTTTGTTTACTAAGAAGTTATGCCCAGTTTAATGAGAATTTATGTCCTTACATTTAGTAACCATTTGAAAAATTAGTACACCTGAATTTAAAGAAAGTTTTATTTTATTATTTAAATAAACACACACTTACCTACTAATTTGGCATGTACACCTGTTGGGCACTGGACAGTTTTCTCAATCTTGAAATCAGACTGGGCAGCACCACTCTCATTTCCCTATATCACACTGATTTTTTTACACCAAAACAAAAAAATCCAAACCCACTGCCATCAAGCTGAGTCCAAGAGGTTACAAATTTTCACAGAAGCAGACATCCTCATCTTTCTCCTGTGGAGCAGCTGGTGAGTTTGAAATGTTAACCTTACAGTTAGCAGTCCAGTGCTTATCCTAACGGTGCTAAGAGGGTTCAGAAGTTTTGCACACTATATGACTTTTATCACAGCAACCTCAGAAAACTAAGATTCACAAAGATATGATGTCATAGAAAAGAATGGATCACCATTTAATGTTGAGACTATGTACTACTTACACTGTAAGATATCCAGCAGATATGAAGTATGAAATATTCTATGGTACTCCTTTGTGTTAAGGAGCCTTGATGGCACAGTGGTTAAGCATTTGGCTGCTAATCAAGGAGTTGGCAATTTGAACCTACTAGCTGCTCTAAAAGGAGCTCTGGTAGCGTAGTGGTTATGAGTTGGGCTGCTAACCTCAAGGTCGGCAGTTCAAAACTACCAGCTGTTCCACAGGAGAAAGATGAGGCTTCTGCTCCCCTAAGAGATTTCCAGCTTTGGAAATCCTATGCAGGGTCACTATGAGTCAGAACCGACTCCACAGCACATCACCACCAGCAGCAGCTGCTCTAAAAGTAAAAGATGTGGCAGTCAGTTTCCATAAAGATTGCAGCCTGGGAACCTTATGAGCAGTTCTACTCACTCCAGGGTCACAGTGAGTCAGAACAGACTTGACAGTAAGGGTCTGGTTTTGGTTTTTATGGTACTGACATCAGAGTGCCTTAGCACAATCATTTTAAGCCTCAGCAGCTATAGTAACTATTCAATATTTTAATTACTTACAATCAAAATTACTGAAATCAGATTTTCAAGAGCTAAACATTATTTTCATGTATTACACGGGAAACAAGGCTTTTGTTGTTGCTTTGACTTTTTCTTGAGACAAAGAAAAGAACACTATGAAATCCAAATGAACACTATTGAATCCTTAAAGAAAGATTTTTTTTCCAAACTGGATGATTATTGTCTTATGTGATAATTTTGATAAATGTCAGTTACGTTAAATCTGGCAAACTATGATTGTAAAAACAAGAAATAGGAATAAGTTTATTATTATGAATGTAAATGAAAATAGTATTGCTACAAAATCACGGAAATGTTTATTAAACAAAAATATACAAATATGAAGCTATTGCTTTTTGACATTACCTTCGTCTAGGTCTATACACTTTTGAAGGTAGTCTTTCCATCTCTCTAACACATCCCAGAAGACATCTGCTCTCTTTGATTTATATCATGTAAAAACTAAGGATTACGCATTCTCAAGGAACTCAAATCTTACTAATTTTAAATGTTGTTTGAGTTTGAGGGAACAAAAATAAGTCTGAATGGGCAAGATCAGTGCTGTAGGGTGGCTGGGTAGAGTTCCCTAAGAAAATTCTCATAGGACAGCCCTTGCTACCCTTAAAGAATGAGCAGGTACATTGCTGTGACAGAAAACAATTAAATCAGTCATTATTTGATTGGCAACTTTCCTGACCTTTTCTTACCAATGCATTTTTCAATTTTCTTAATTCTTTCTAATAAGTTCCTGTGATCACCCTGTGTCCTTCAAGAAAATGTATTAAGATGAACCCTTCTGAGTTCCAGAAAAGAGTCATCAGAACCTTCTGAGCTAACCTTCCTGCCTTGCAGAGTCCTTGGGAAAGCACTTAAAAATAAAAAAAAAAACTCTAAAGGGCCAAAGCTAAGCACATTTCAGGCAGAACTTGTTTGAAGCCATTCACTGATCACAGAGACATGATTAAACAAATTTTGTTTGGAATAAACCCATGCATGTATGAACTGTAGCACTAAGTAGCAATACTTTCTGACTAATTCTCGTATCTCTCCTCCTGAACAATTTCTCCGAACTTAAGAATACAGCAAATTGATCCAGTCTCACTAGTTTCCAGTCTCCATGATCTCCTAGTACAGAGCAGCACAAGTTCCTAAGTCAAATAAGATCTGAAATGTTTGAGAATTCAGAAAGACAGACATCAATGTTACTACCAGAAGAATTCTTCTAAATTAGTAGAAATGAACTTTGTACCTGGTCTTCTCATTTACAATTCCTTGGTTTAGGCTGAACACTAGAGATGTGACAAAGGAAAGAAGTTCAACCGCATGACTTACTCAGTTTTTGTTACTTACTGTTTCATCAGTTCACACCTACCAATCCCAGTCACATAAAGTCTGTGCTACTGGCAAATGCTGCCATATTTAGTTGGGAATCAAAGTATGTGGTCAGAGTAATGAGTTAAAACTTTTTAAGGCCATCCAAGAAATAATTGGGGGTGGGGGTGGGGGGGAGGTGGGAATCAAAGTTTCATTGAAGAATTTTCAAAACCAGAAAAGGTAAATGAAAATATATGGCATGTTGTTTGTTTGTTTGTTTGTTTTTAAAAGTTAAGAAGGCTACTGTATCTACAATCTCAAAAGTGTGTAGGTAGAGAAATAAGAATAATGCCAGGATCTGGCTAATTATCAAGAAAAGAATGCTTGAAACAATAAAAAATACATGGCTATATTAGTATATACTTACCTGCTGAATGATTTTGGAAGTTTTCTGAAGATTCTCTCTGGGAGGGACTTTACCAAATAATTTCCAACCAGGAGCACTATGGACAACTGATTTTAATTCCTTCGTTCTTTTTGGAAAAAGGTTTCTGAAACACAGAAAAGTTATATGAATTGTTTTTTTGTAACCAAAGAACTATTTAGTGACACTTTCTAAAGTGATACAAATATAAAATACCTTTTAACAAAATTATTTCTACTATTAACTATTATATAAATTAATAAAAAATTCAACTACAAAGAAGTATTAGAAGAATCAATGGAGATACTAAAGAGATCTACAAATTGGGAGAAGAATGATAACTATATAAAATATAAATATTTCCTTTGATTCAGCTACAAAGTATAGTAGAATTAACTGTATTAGAAAGTCAACATTTTTACAACAAAAATGCTAAAGAAGACACTATGTAAAAAGTGAAAGTTGATTAAATAATACAATATTTGGACAGATTATTTCAGTAATAACTATTTCACTAGTAATCTGTTATTATTTGTAATAAAAGTACATCTACTGGCTTGGAGTCAACTAGTCCAATGAAGAATGTGAACATCAGTCAACATGACTCTTAGACCATAGAACTGGATGATACCCCACTACTACTACAAACTGCTCTGAAAGGGATCACCTTAGAAGATCCTGGATAGTGTGGAAAACAAACAAACAAACAAACAAACAAACAAAAGACCAGGTTTACTGATCAGAAAGAGACTAAAGGAAGCTGAGCCTATGGCCCTCGATCACCCTTCAGGTCTAGAAAGGAGCATACCCTTGTGGCCCAATTTTCAGCCAAGCAGTTGAAAGGTATATACACTAGTAAGCATACTCACCATGGAATGGTCAATCATTCACGATCAACAGGGCACTAATCACCAAAGGACAGAGTTAAGAGGGATGAGAAGAAGGGTGCAGTGGAAATAGCAAGGAAGGCAGTAGGATAACTATTGCACATGGAGGGGAATGCAATAAGAAACGAAGTGCATGACTTGTTTAATGCAAAATTGAAGATCTTGTCTGCAAATCTTCATTCAATTCACTTGTCTGCAATAAAAATTTAAAACAAAACAAACAACAAAAACCAAGTGGAGCACAGTTCTACTCTGACATGGGTTGAAATCAACTCAATAGCAAAAAAAAAGGATATCTACTGATCCTCCATTGCAAAGATATGTGTATGTGTCAACTGCTTTTCCAAAGACAGATTATATACAGGAAAACTTACTGCAAAAGAGTCAATCTATAACCAAGGAAGAAAGTATCTCTCACTAAAAAATTTTAAAATGCTACACAAGGGCCAACAATTTTACCTTATTTATATGCCCTAATAAAGGTGACTCAGTAGAATGTAGAAATTATGGGACAATCTCTTTGCTATCCCATGCTAGTAAAGGTTCACTAAAGGTAATACAGAAATGGCTGCAACCATATATTGACAGAGAACTTTCAGAAGTTCAAGCCAGATTCAGAAGAGGATGTGGAATGAGGGATATGAATGAGGGATATCATTGCTGATGTCCAGTGGATCTTGGCTGAAAGTAGAGAATATCAGAAAGATGTTTACCTGTGCTTTATTGGGTATGCAAAGGCTTTCGATTGTGTGGATCATGACAAGCTACGGACAACATTGCAAAGTATGAATATTCCTGAACACTTAATTGTGTTAATGAGGAATCTGTACATAGACCAAGAGGCAGTTGTTCGAACAGAACATGTGAACGCTGAATGGTTTAAAATTTAAAAAGTTGTGCAACAAGGTTGTATTTTTTCACCATGTAACTTATTCAACTTGTATGCTGAGCAAATAATCTGAGAAGCTGGGTTATATGAAGAAAAAACATGGCATCAGGATGGGAAAAAGACTCATTAACAACTCGTGATATGCAGATGAATTACAACCTGCTTGCTGAAAGTGAAGAGGACTTAAAATATATTACTGATGAAAATCAAAGAGCACAGCCTTCAGTATGGATTGCATCTCAATGTAAAGAAAACAAAAATACTCACCACTGGACCAATAAACAACATTCTGACCAATGGTGAGAAGACTGAAATTGTCAAGGACTTCATTCTTCTTGGATCAACTATCAATACTCATGAAAGCAGCAGTCAAGAAATCAGATGACATAGTTATTGCATTAGGCAAATCTGCTGCACAAGACCTTTTTAAAGTGTTGAAGAGCCAAAGATGTCAACTTGAGGACTAAAGTACGCCTGACCTAAGCCATGGTATTTTCAATAACCTCATATGTATGTGAAAGTTAGACAGTGAATAAGGAAGACTGTAGAAGAATTGATGCTTTTGAGTTATAGTGTTAGAGGAGAATATTGAAAGTGCCATGGGCTGCCAAAAGAACCAACAGATCTGTGTTGGAAGAAGTGCAGCCAGAGTGCTCCTTGGAGGCCAGGATGGCCAAACTTGGTCTCTCATACTTTGGACACATTGTCAGGAGGGACCGGTTACCGGAGAAGGCTATCATGTTTGGTAAGGTGGAGGGTCAGAGAAAAAGAGGAAGACTCCCAGCAAGATGGACTGGCAAAGTGGCAGCATTAATGGGCTCAAGCGTGGCAACAACTGTGAGGTTGGCCCTGGTCCAGAACATGTACCTTGGTAGAACCTCGCAGTCTTGGCTTGGTGATAACCTTTCCCCTGGCCCTCTTGATATGGAAACGAACACCCCAAAGGCTTCCTGCCAGCACCTGTACCCCAATTCCCTTTCAAGCTCCACCTAGCCCAACTGTACCCCAGAGGGTTCCCACCAAGCCATACTCCCTCTGGATCCATGCTTCTTCTGCAGACTGCATCCATAGGATTCTCACTGAACTGTGTTCCATTATGAAAAACATAATGTGGAACTAGTTATTATGTCAAATTACTAATTATGTTACTAGTCGTCTATTGAGACAGCCCAAAACTATCCTTTGTTTTTCTTTTGAAGCCATCTATAACTTTCTAAGCCTAAAAGTACTCAATTGCTAACCACAAAGTTGACAGTTTGAACCCACCAGTCACTCTGCAGGAAGAGGAGAAGGCAGTCTGCTTCTGTAAAGACTGTTGTTGCTAGGCGTTGTTGAGTCAATACTGACTTATAGTGACCTTGTAAGGGTTTCTCAAGAACAGCTGATGGGTTTGAACAGCTGGCCTCAGAGATAAAACTGACCTTGTAGTCCAGTGCTTATCCTACAGAACCTTAGAAACCCCATGAAGGTAGGTCTACTCTGTCCTATAGGGTAACTATGAGTCAGACTCAACTCTACAACAACAGGTATGGGTTCTAAATCTGCAAAGAACTATTGGGCATACTTCGTTATGAAATGTTATTATGCTAGATCTTCCACATCTTTAAATTGTACAACTGAGTTTTGAACCTAAATTCAACTTACCATTCTAACCTATTGGACTCATCCTAAAATATAAGTACCACTTAAAGTATTAAATGCTCATGCCAACTCTTACTATTTGTTATTTAGTGCCATCAAGTCGGTTTCAACTCAGTGACACTGAAAATATGATTCATACTTTTTTTGGACAGTTACATTTCTCTATTAAACATGACACAAAAACATGAAAACTAGATGTCAGGTTCTGGTAACATGACAGGATAGAGGACCCTCCCATTATAAACCAATTGGACCTTGCAAAAAACTACAGACTCCCACATTTCTGAGGTTACACAAACAGATACAGAGACTA